ACCTGGTCTTTGTAGATCCCTAGACCTGCCCCTTTCTCTTCCTGGTCTCCAGCTGCTGCCATCCTTTAAGGCTCCAACCTGGACCCCTTTCCCATGACAATTTGCACTTTCTCTCTTTCATCCATCCCAGAATTTAATTATTATGATTTTTTTTTGAAGTTTGCTATAGGGCACGTGCACTTGTCAGAGAGACAGGGAGAAAGTGAGGAAGCATACGCCCCAGTGGGGATGGTCGCACTGCAAACCCTCTCCTCCATTCCCCGCTTGGGATTTTGGGCGTGCACACACACACGCACATGCACCCAATGTGATTTTCAAGCCACTGGGTCCAGGATTCAAACCATAGAGTCAGCCACGTGGGATCCAGCTGCCTTAACCCAGGTGCCACCTGCTAGCCCCTAAAATATCTTCTACTTGTTAAATACTCTCAAATCTGTCTTCGGTCAGGATCTTTCGTCCAAGCTCCAGTCTCATTTCTCTTTGTTCTAGATGTCTCATTGACCTCACAAAATCTGCCCGTCTTTCTTTAAAATACACTCTTCCTGGGGGGCCCGCAGGTGGTATAGTGGTTAAGGTGCTGGACTCCCACATAGCTGATTGCAGTTTGAGTCTCTGGCAGCTTGAAAATCATGCTGGGTGTGTGTGCGTGTGTGCTCAGAATCCTGAGAGGAGAATGGAGGAGGGATTGTGATGTGGCCACTTCTCACTTTTCCTCTCTGTGTCTCTCTCTGGCGGACACATGTGCCCTATGGCAAAAACATTAAAAAAAAATAGATACAAAAAAATCCACTCCTCTCATTATCCCGTTTTAGTAAGCGGCACCCACGTTGATTAATCTCAAAGCCGAATCCTCAGGGTGGTCCTGAGTCCTCTGTTCTCAGCCTCACGTGCACTCCATGACCAAACCATATTAATTCTACCTTCAAAATACACCTCAAAATCATCTGCTCCTCTCCAGCTCTCCTCCAGTTCCAGCCACCAGAAACCTAAGTAACCAAGAATATATTTATTTATTTATTTATTTATTTATTTTTTGGAGAGGATTTTTTTATCGGGTATGTGCACTCTCCAGAAAGACAGAGAGAGACAGAGAGAAAGCAAGAAATCACTCCCCAGGGGGGATGGCCATGCCACAATCCCTTCTCCTCTATTCTCCTCTTAGGATCTTGGGCACGCATGCACACGCGCCCAGGATGAGTTTAAGTCACCAGGTCCAGGACTTGAACTATATGGGAGTCTAGCGACATAGCCATTATGCCATCTGCTGGTGCCAGTAACCAAGAATATACTAACTCTAATGATCTCCAGACTTCCACTCTGCCCCTCTCCAGTACATTCTACATCCCAAACGACCCTTTTTCTTTAGCCAGAGGGCACATACTCATACCAGAGACACACAGAGAGGGAGAACGCACCCCACAAAGAGGTGTGGTCATGCTGCAGTATGCTCTCCATTTCTCCTGGCCATCAGGATTTGGGGCACACAGGTACACGTGACCAGGTATTTCCCAAGCTGCCAGGCCTGAGATTAGACTCATGGCTGATCATGTGGGATCTGAAGCCCTTAACCAGTAGGTCTTGGGCTGGCCCCCAAACAATCTTTTTTTTAGAATGATTTTATTTAACTTTATTTATTTATTTAATTTATTTTAATTTGACCAGAGAGGGACAGAGAGAGGGAGAGAAAGAGAAAGTGAGAAAGCAAGCTACCAGGTCTGGGACTTGAACTATAGTTGGCCATGTAGAAGTCTAGCACCCTTAACCACCAAGTCATTTGTTGGCCCAACAATCTTCTTTAAAAAAGAACTATGTGTTTAATTTTGTTTATTATCATTGTTATTTAAGTTTTCTATAGGACATATGCACTCACAAGAGAGGAAGAGAGAGAAAGTGAGAAATCAAGCCGTCAAGTCTGGGACTGGAACCATGGTTGGTCACGTGGTTGGCCTGGTGCCTTAGCCACCACGCCACCTGCTGGCCCCCACAACAATCTTTTAAAAAGTATAAATCAGATCATATGATGCCCCAAGTTTAATTTCTTTGAAGATATTCTATCGCACTCAGAGAAAATCTAAGTGTCTCACCAGGCCCCTTCCTTCTTCCTCACCTCCCTTGAAGCCACTCTTCCTTTTGTTTCTGCCACGGCTGCTGTGCTGGCTTCCTTTGCATCCTGACGTGTCACCATGGGGCAACAATGCTGTTGCCTCTCCCCAGAATGCTACCCCACATGCTCTTCATCCTGTGGGACTCGGCATCACTGTCGTCTCTTCCAGAACATCCCTCCTGAGCCCAGACTCTCAAGTTCCATTTCCTTCGGTCAGGCTCTCCCTGTATGCGTCCTACCTGCCTTTGTGACTTTAACTCCGTAAGTGTCTTCGTAGTTATTTTTTTGCCGTTGGTTCCCTGCTAGATCAGCGGCATCCTGAGGGGAGAGACCCTCAGCATCTTTTGCACAGTGCCACGTTTCTGGCCCCATGCCACATGTGACACTCAGGGAGTTCTCAGTAATGACCTTTCGCCTCGCACTCCCTGGGTGAAACTGTATCCAGAAGAGAATACTTTAAGACCCAGGGGATGGGCCGTGAATGTGTCCATGAAGAGCTTTGAGGGGCAGGATGAGAAAGCCCCTTGTACTCCTGTGTAAATGAAAGACACTTCCACTGGTGGTTCTTGGGAGCCCAAAACACAGGGCGATGACTCAGGGGCCTGCTGACTCGTAAAGTGACTTGTTGATTTCTTCGTTAACATTCTGTGTTGGTCCCAAGACTTTCTAACCAAATCAGGAGGCAACTCCCTGAGGACCAGGCAGGGCCACATCAAAGCACGCTGAGAGGAACAGTTAAAGTCAGTTCAGAGTCTTCTGCCAACGCTGCCTTCCCAGAAGGCCCAGAGTTCCCAAAGAGACCAGGATGGTCGGGTAGGACAATGGTCCACTAGGCCTAAGGACCCCACCCGGTGCTTTACACAAAGCTCTGCACAGCATCCCCTGAAGCCCAGGTGGACCTGATGTGCAATCACAGAATCTCGGCAGAGTGAGACAGGGAACGCTGACGAGGCCTGTTTATCCTTCAGCGGGCCTCTGGTGACGTGGAGAGCACTGAACTTCGCATTTCCTCCCGTGCACAGGTGCAATGCAACTGGCGACGTTCAAATGCCCAGCCTTTGGGGCGACGTCTGTGATGCACAGTGAGTCACATCAGCCTCTCCGGGCCCTTTGAGGGCCAACAGCTGTAGAGCGTGCGCCTGCAATTACGCAGCTCAGCATCTGCTAGGATCAGGTAAGCCTTTTATATCCAGAAACATCACAAAGTGTGGAGGCCAAAAAAACCTCTGAATGACATTGGGAGCCCAGTTTGTTTGCGTAACGGGGGAATTCATTTTTAACGGGCTTATTTATTATGTCTTTCATTGGCCTTAATGAATCTGAGAGGAGTTTCCAGATCCTTGTGCCCAGGCTCAAGGACAAGTTGGGGGCCTTGATTTCAAACATATTGTGATTGGTTACAAGTTGCTAAACAGCAAAAATAGCCCTGCATCTGTTGTTGTGGCAGGCCTAGGACAGTCACAAGTGGGTCACTCAAGTTCTGCCAGCAGCCATTGATAAAATACGAACAGGGTATAAGTGGTGATTTGAAGTAAAATAAAAAGGTAGAATTAAGGCAAAGGACACAAAGATATATTCTCTCTCTCTCTCTCTTTAAGGTTTATTTAGGCAATTCTTCCATGAGCAAGAGAGACAGAGACAGAAAGACAGCACTTCCAACAGGGTTTTGATGCTGCGACCTACTTCATGCCTCTGCTAGCCTCGGATCATGGACACACACACATGCCAGTGCACTCAGGGAGGTTGCCAGATGTGAACTAGGAACCTTCCTGACTGGGTCGGCCTCAAAGGATGTCATGGCTCCTGAGAAGGGTATTCTCTCTCTCTCCCTCTTGTTTCTTTTTTTCTTTTCTTTTTTTTTTTAGAGTGTGCGCTCACCAGAGAGATAGAAAGAGACAGACAGAAACTGAGAAATCACCTCCCCAGGGGGATGGCCATACCACAATCCCTTCTCCTCCCTTCTCCTCTCGGGATTTTGGGCATGCATGCCCAAGTGCCTGGAATGAGTTTTAAGCTGCCGGGTCCAGTACTCGAACTGTGGTCAGCCATGGGAGAGTCCAACAACATAACCATTTTGCCATCTGCTGGTCCCAAGAAGAGTATTCTGTTAAATTTATTGTTAACCAAGGAGGAATAAAAGGAAAAGCCCTGGTGAAGATGTTTGCTATTTTGAGAGAAGGATTCTGTGCCAAGACAAGTCATCAGTTTTGAGCATTTTCTTCCCTTTAGACCCCAAAGATACAAACAAAACACAGTCCCCTGCCCTCACAGAGCATGTGGCTGCAGAGGCAGCAGACCGATTGTTTTTCGTAGAGGCTGGCGTGTCGGATGGCTCAGCTCTGTGAACCTTGATGCTGCTCAGAATGATAGCAGGCTTGGGGAGAACAGAAAGCTGAACCACAAGGGTGTGGCAGCCAGGCCTACGATGGGTCCTGAGGAGTAGGGATTGCATTTAGAGCCCACCATGAACCCAGCAAGGTGAAAAACCAAAGTGAATCAACACAAAGACAGAAGGACGTCTCCCAGGTTGGGAAACACTAGATATTTGTCCGACGAGTGAACAAATGAATGAACGCAGCTCTTCCACATGTCATGCCATGCACTGCTTACCTCAGATTCTTTGTAGTAGCGTTCTGGAATTTCGTCGCAGGCGATATCAATAAAGCAAACTTCTCTCTCTATGTCTTTGGCTTCATTATCAAAAATCTGAAAGAGCAGAGCCACATAGCAAAGGTTAGTGACACAGGTGCTCCCCCCCAGGTGCCTGTGGGTCTGCGCCACCACGCTCGAGGCAGACTAACACCCTCGTGTGGCTTGGTGCCCCCGGCCAGTGCTGTTGCTTGCCTTAGAATGTTCAAGAATCACAAAAGGCTTTCATTCATTGCCTAGGTTCTGTCACATCAGAGGCAGGTGTAGCATTAGTCGCTGCTTGGAGAGAGATAGGGGGAAAAGTAGGCTGTTTTTAGAAGTTCAAGAGTGAGAAAATAAATCGCTTCCAAAAATCTCTTCCAAAAGTGAAGTCTGCTGATTTTTGGCAGTGAATCTGAACTGGGGGAGTGAAGAGGCTACAGAGGGTCTGGCAAGATTTGAGACACAAAGCAGTTATCTAGCCCAAGATTTAGAGAAGAAAAGGTGGTTTGTTTGTTTGTTTGTTTATTTATTTTTTAGAGATTTTTGCTGTAGGGTGTGTGCACTTGCCAGAGAGACAGTGAGAGAGAAATCACCTTCTAGGAGGATGGCCAACCTGCGTTCCTTTCTCCTCTATTCTCCTCTGGGGATTTTGGGCATATACGCACACAAGCCTGGTATGAGTTTTAAGCTGCCGGGTCTGGGACTTGAACTGCGGTTGACTATGTGAGAGTCCAGGGATGTAAACATTACATGATCTGCTGGTCCCAAAAGGTGTTTGTTTTTTTAATTAACATTATCCTATATATTTAATTTCACAATTTCATGCTTATTGCAGAAAACAAAGAATGACTAAATAAACGAATGAATAAATAAATAAATAAAACCACTTTATGGGTGGTTTATAAATCACATTCATTATCCAGGGATAAATGCTTGTGTTTTTCTGAATCACTTAAGAGTGTGAATTCCTGGTTAAGATACCGAGGTAGTTTTCTGCCATTCTACTCTAGAGTCCACTGGTCCAGAATGTCCATCACTTTGGAATAAAAATAGTATACTGGGACCACCAGTTAGCATAATGGCTACGTCTCTGGACTCCCATGTAGTTGACTGTGGTTGGAGTCCTGGACCCAGCAGCTTAAAATTATGCCGGGCGTGTGTGCGTGTGTGCCCAAGATCCTGAGAGGAGAATGGAGGAGAAGGGATTGTGGTGTGGTCATCCCCCCGGGGATGATTTCTCGCTTTCTGCCTCTCTGTCTCTCTCTGTCTTTCTGGTGAGCGCATGCACCCTATAACAAAAAACCTCTCCAAAAATAAAAGAAAAGTATGTATATATGTGCATATATGACAGCCACGATATTATATGGATATAAATCTGGGTGGTTAGGTTTCTCTAGTTTTTCTCACTTAAAGGGGTAAGTAATCAGGAGCTGGATGGTGGTGCAGTGACAAAATGCAACACTCTGTGAGGCTGACTCATATGAGAAGGTTCCAAGTTCAAGTCCAGTGATCTCTGTGAACATAGTGGGTGCACACATGCACTGTGACCCAGGGATGACTGAGGCTGGATCGTGGTGTCAAGACCTTAATTAATGTTCTCCCCCCACCTCTGTCTTTCTCTTTGTCTCTCTGGCTTAAGGAAGAAAAAAAAATGGTCAAAAGATAAAGTTATGATCATCTTTCTGAAGGATGGGAGACAGATTAAGCTTGGAAAATCATTTCATTCTTAGAAAAAGACTTAACTGTATCCCCACCTTATTGTTTAGCTAGTTCCTGCAAGAAAACACCAGTTAACACTAACTACATCTGACTACAGAATACAATGAAATATTTTGGAAGAATGGAGTGGCTGATGCCTAAGAACCTCGTCTTGACTCAGATTTAGTGCCTGTTAATAATACGATCTCCCACAAGAGAGCCTCGAAGGGCTCTGAATGTGCTAAACTTTTCTTGGTTTGTTTCTCAAGTTGAAACTATTGGTCCTCTCCAAATGCTTTCTGAATAATATTTGTGCTCCCAGTTTGTCGTTTTCCCTATTTTCTGCTAAAATGTTTGCAGACTGGATTCCGTATTTGTCCACAAAGATGAACTCCCCAGTCTGACTTTAGATAGCCGCTGCATTTTTCTTTTATTTCTTTAAGATTTATTTTATTTTATTATTATTATTATTTTTAAAAAAATAATGATTTAATTTTACTTACTTGTTCATTTATTTTAATTTTAACAGACAGAGGCACACACAGAGAGAGGGAAAGCAAGAAAGCAAGTTGCCAAGCCTGGGACTTGAACCATGGTTGACCATGTGGGAAACCAGTGCCTCAATCACCACGCCACCTACCGGCCCTGATTATCATTGTTTTTTAATTTGACCAGAGAGAGACAGAGAGAAAGGGAAAGTGAGAAAGCAAGCCTCCAGGCTCAGGACTTGAACTGCGGTTGGCCATGTGGGAGTCTAGTACCTTAAGCACCACACCCCTGTTGGCCCGCTCAGTTTCTTTCTTCCTTCTTCCTTTCTTTCTTTCTTTTTTGTTTCTTAAAGAATTATCTCTTTTATTTATCATTATTATTATTATTATTTTTGAGAGGTTTTTGCTATAGGGCACGTGTGCTCACCCAAAAGACAGAGACAGACAGAAAGTGAAATCACCCGCCGGGGGGATGGCCATGCCACAATCCCTTCTCCTCCATTCTCCTCTGGGATCTTGGGTGGCCGCACACACACATGTACTGCCCGGCGTTGAGTTTAAGCCACCGGGTCCAGGACTTGAACCGCAGTTGATTACATGGGAGTCCAACAACATAGCCATTACACCAACTGCTGGTCCCTCATTATTGTTATTTTTAATTTGACCAGAGTGAGACACAGAGAGACAGAAAGTGAGAAAGCAAGCTGCTAGGTCTCAGACTTGAATTGTGGTCAGCCATGTGGGAGTCTAGTGCCTTTAACCACCACACCATCTGCCAGCTCCTCAGCTTTCTTTTTGGAGAGGTTTTTGCTATAAGGCACAGGCGTTCACCAGACAGAGAGAGAGAGAGACAGCGAGAAATCACCCCCCCCAGGGGGGGATGGCCATACCGCAATCCCTTCTCCATTCTCTTCTTGGGATCTTGGGCATACACGCACATGCGCCTGACAGAGTTTAAACCACCAGGTCCAGGACTCGAACCATGGTCGACTACATGGGAGTCCAGCGACATAGACATTATGCTAACTGCTGGTCCCCTCAGTTTTCTTAAAGTCAAAAAAAGATGTTTTTTTTTTTTTCTTTAGAGTTTTGCTATAGGGCAAGTGCACTCTCAGGAGAGACAGAGAGCGAGAAATCACCCCCCAGGGGAGATGGCCACACCGCAATTTCTTCTCCATTTTACTCGGGATTTTGAGCATGTATGCACATGTGCATAGCGAGAGTTTAAGCTGCTGGGTCCAGGACTCAAACCGCGGTTGACTAAGTGGGAATCCACTGAGGTAGCCATTATGCTGTCTGCTGGTCCCAAAAGATGGGATCTGATTCCTTCCACTGCCACTTGAAGTCAAGGGCTTTGGGACACTCCTAAAGTGTTTTGGAGGGATGGATGTTATGCCTTGAAATGAAAATAGACAGTGGAGAAACAAGGTTAAGTTTGGGTGGTGAAATAAGCTGTGAAAATAAATACGGGGTCTCAGATTCTTTGCGTTGAGTCAGTCTCTTCCCCTCTCTCCATCTTTATTTGCCTGAGTCTCTTTAACGTGTGAACCAAGAGAAGAAAGATGCATGCTTTATTAAGAAGACAAACAGAATACCCCAGAGGGAAATGAGCTTCTAGAGAGTAAATTACACAAGAAGTTAAGAAGCTCTGACATTTATTGGTGCTAAAATTTATGGGATTCAGAGAAAGGAAAACAAGCAGGGGTTAAGGGGGCTGTTGACAAGTTGTGCAGCTATACTTAATTTAATTAAAACATTTTGGATTGGGGTCAGCAGGTGGCATAGTGGTTAAGGTGCTAGACTGCTACATGGCCAACTGCAGTTCAGGTACCAGACCACACGCTAGGTACATGTGCGAATGTGTCCAAAATCCCAAGAGAATGGAGGAGAAGGGACTGTGGCGTGGCCATCCCTCCTGCAAGGTGATTTCTCGCTTTCTGTCTTTGTCTCTCTCTGTCTCTCCAGCAAGCACATGCACCCTATACCAAAAATCTCCAAAAAAAATTTTTTTTGGGGGGTGGGCGATCATCTTTGTACTAGTTATTACATTATTGCCTCTGAGCTCCCAAATCACCCTTCCACCTGCACTGTGATGCTGACCTTGACCCTGTAAGCATTTCTCCTTTACAGCGAGTGCTGTGTTAAGCCTTGTCAGTAAAGAGCACGGAGCAATGCTGCAGAAGGAAGGAGGCTTCTCCTCTAGGCTTGGCTTGTGGTGGGCTGCACAGCCTGTCAGGAGAACACTCAGCAGTGCTCTGCCCCAGCTGTGGGCCTGGAATGCACAGGTGCTCAGTGACCTGGTAGCCCTGTCCTGGGCTCAGTAGTCGTTTCACGGTGGCCAGGCTCAGGCATCAGGAGCTCTGAGTCGTGTACTGACAGCGGTCCCTGGCTCCTCTACACACCTGTACACTAACCTCATCCTGCTTGCACCCCAGAAGGCTTCCTGTGCCTGGTGACAATGAACCAGTTCTGGTTCAGGCCACCCAGTGAGCTTCTTTCTCTGTTATCTGTGAGCTTCAACTACACCTTCCCCAGTGAAATCTCAGTCCAGCCAGGGAGAGAGGCACCTTCTAGGCCAGTCTTTCCTTGGGTACTCTCTCGACTCCAGGGTACCCTTTAGAGCTGTCTTTACATCTTTATAGTTGTTACTATCAAATATAAATTATTCCTTTTACTATATTACATGCCTCCTGTTTATTGTGTTATGGGCCAGCCAGGTGGCATGGTGGTTAAGGTGTCTGGATCCCATGTGACTGACAGTGTGGTTCAAGTCCTAGACCTGGAGGCTTGACAAACATGCTGGGTGCTTGAGAGTGCATGCCCAAAATCCTGAGAGGAGAGTGGAGGAGAAGGGATTGTGGTTATTACCCCCCCAGTGAGGGGTGTGCG